TTTTTTGCACCCTCAGATTCCAGATTTTCAAATAGTTGTATCTCGGCCAAATATTGTCCTATCCTAACAAACCATACATCAATGCAAAGCTTATTTATTCAGCTTTCAGATTACGTATACATCTCAATTTCAACAAATTGACCCTTATGACTGGTTTTGTGGTCTAGGGTCACATATTTCAATTTCACAAAGAAATGTGCAGCATTTTGTCTGAGAAATAATAAAAGGACACCTTTTCATTTATAATGAATCTCATTTTGTTCAAATATCGTGAGAAAATCGTATCAGTATCTTATCTGAGTTGAGTGAATCGTTACATCCCTACATTCAGCTGATTAGTAGCACCTTGTTCTGCTGTAGTTTTGTTCATGCTCATGATGATAATGCTTCATGTAAAGTGGTTTGGGTTCTTTTCGTTAATCTCAAGTAGGGCTAAGTGAGAAGAAATGTGTGCAGCACCAGAGATTTTACTATAGCCTCTGACAAAAAGAATAATGTCCCCCAGTGAAACTCAGCTGACGGTGTTGTGTGTGTTTTCCTGCAGTGTCTAAGAACCTGAGCGAGCGGCGCTCCACTAAATCAGACATGTCCCCGGTGTCCATGCGCTCCAGTGTGTCTTCGGCCAAGCCTCAGAACCGCGTCTCTCAGGTGCTGCAGGTGCCTCCCGTCAGCCTTTACCCTCTGCGCAAGAAGAGCATCGCCAAAGACCTGTCCGCTTCCTTCAGTACGTGACCCATCACAAGCTCTCTGAAGTGACAGAATACTGTGTTCATCATCATCATCTAGATTTTTTCAGTCCTCATACACAATTCCATAATAATTATGCATAATTTCACATAATAACCAAAAAAGGCTTATTTTATGTACCATTTTCATAATAAGCATCACTTCCACTACTAAATTTAAATTATACAAAGATACAAAAACAAAACTTATTAAATTTCTTAAGACCTTTATACTATACAGAATTGAAAATTTTATGAATTAATACAACTTTCAAGTATTTCTTGTGCAAATGATTTATTTTGAGTTATATATTAGTTTATAACCTTATTTGTAAACTTTTTTTTTTTCATTTGTAATGTGATATACACATATTGAATTCCTTGGCATTGTTATTCCATAATTTCACTCCTTTGACAGATATTCATCTATTCTTCACCGTAACGTTTATACTGACTCTCTCTCATTTCAAACAGCCTCTGAATACATTTGGGAAGTAAACTGTGTTTTGCTTTATACATTATCTGAGCAATTTTGAAAAATCAACCAGATCATCAAATTAAAAAAATTATTTTCTCCACTGGCAAGAAAAATTACTTGTTAGGTCTTGTTTTCTGAAAAATGTATCAAAATTAAATGTTTATACTTGAAACAAGAAGAAAAAAAATCTGTCTATGGGTAAGGAAAATAAACTTTATACAAAGAGAAACTGACCGTAGATTTTTCTTGCTTCAAGCTTAAACATATTGATATTTTTTCAGAAAACAATACTAACAAAATGTCATTTTGCTTCTCAGGTTAATGTATCTTGATTTAAGAATGTTTCGATATTTGTAACGGAAAACAAGACAAAAATACAGAGTAAGAAAATCACGTTTCGCAGTGTGGAAACGCTCACAGGTGGGTTGTTTAATTTCATTAGCGATAATACCTTCTCACCATCAGTTCCTGTTCTGTCTTCACTATCGCTCTGAAGAAAGGTAGCAAAAATCAAACCAAATGAATGTGATGATACAAATAACCACAGCAGTATTTTACAGTGTGAACATCATGACGTTTCTAGAGAAGTTCATGCTGCTAGCAGCTCATGCTCATCAGTGATCATGGCTCCCTCTGCTGTCTGAACTGTGTCAGTGTCTGCTGTGCTCTTCAGGTCCCAACTCACCTCAGATGCTGAAGAAAGCAGCTGGCGCGGCCGATGACATGAGCGTCAAGAGACCCGACGAAACAGCCACCGTCTCGTCCCTGCACTCCAGTACTACCGTCTCCCCACAGGGATCTCCTCGCAAAGGTACGACCCTGACAAACCTCCAGTCAGCCTTATTAATTAAACTCATCTGTAGATCAGTAAACACATGCATTTCCCCGTCCTGATCTTCAGCTGTATTCAGCTCACGAGTGGCTCTCAAGTTCTTGTCATTTATTTAATCTAAACGGAAGCAGTTGTTATATTTGATACATATACAAAACTTGATGAAGTGATTAATAGTTCATAATAGAAGTATAATTGTACAAACGTCCATCTTCAGCTCATGCTTCACTTGGCTTTTTGCTGTGACATCTTTACTTATTTTTATGAAGTAAACATAAGAATAACTTTGATATTGTTAGTAATATTTCAAGATGAACACTTACTGGACTGAAGCAGCTTTGCTTTACTTGATTATCCAGACATCATTTTTTAGAAAAATCAGTGAGTCTCAAATATGATCATCAGGCTTTTGAGGAACGTTTATTTTTTAATCTCTCAATCATCATTGGATTGCATTGCTTTATATGTTTTGGTCATCAAACTAAGCATTAAATATCATCTTACTAAGACATGTTATTGGAGATATAGAGTGACAGCTGATATTTATATAATTTTATGTAAGTATCTGCTATACTGTTATACAGATCTCATTGATTTACATTACAAGCATCAGAATTTCATCACTTTTTGTTTATATAAATATCAGCATCTGCACCAAATTGTATATTTTTCTCAGTTTGTGTCACTATATCATACTATATGAGCCATAAAGGCCTGATGTATCAAATATGACAGAACAAAAAAAAAATTGTTTAAAGGTTCGATAAACTGTTCCAGTTTTCAGGCTATTATTTCACATGACAGGCTTTACAGTGTTAATTGTGTCTTTTGTGATATTCATGCTTCAGTGTTTATGAAATATTCCCATCGTTCCCTCACAGTGGGCGGAGCTCCCAGACAGAACTGCGGTCAGCTGAACCTGTCGGGTTCGTCCTCGTCTCTGGCCAGCGAGGTCGGC